TGCGCCTCCCCCCGTCCCCGCTCCCCGCTGCCCCGGAGCCGGGAGGGCGGCAGCACCGCCACCCACCCCCGCGTCCGCCGCCCCCTTCCCCGCTGGAGAAGCGGGGTCACCGCGGGCGGTGACCGGCTCTGTTAGAAAGGCTGAGCCGGGGTCTCCCTCGCCCTCTCCCACCCTGCAGAGCCCTTGCCCCTCCTCGGGTCTGGCTCTGCTCCCTCCACTGCACGCTCTGTCCCTGGGCACAGCCCCACGCAGGACCCGGCTCCCGTGGCAGCGCTGCCCCAGAGGCAGCGGGGGCAGCAGGGCATCCTCCTGCCCCATCCTGCCCGCAGCGGGGGCTCTGCCTGCGTCGCTCGGCGGGGTCAGAGCTGTGATGAGGTGGTGGGGTCACCCTGCGGCACCAGCCACAGAGCCACGCGCGCCTGGGGCTGGCTGCTCCCCGTGCAGAGCACCTTCTGCCAGCAAGTCACGATCTCTCCCAGCTTCCTGCCTCAGTTTCCCCAGCCAGTGATGGAGGTCTAGCTCTGCTAGAAAGGCTGAGCCGGACCCCTCACCCACAAGTCAAGCAACCCTCTGCGACCCTGCCTAGTGGCACGGCAGTGGGGAAAACACCAGCTCCCTGCCTCCAGAACAAGCCCAGCACCGGGTACCCCCCCCAGGAGACATGGTTCTGCTGGAGAGGTGCGTGCCTGGCTGGGAAGCCGGGGTCCCCGGAGGACAAGTGATGAGACAGCCGCCCATGAGCTCGACAAGAGGCCTCGCCTCTCCCTGGGGACTGCGCCGCAGGTCAGCATGACCTTCACTGCGCTGCCGATGCCAACGGCAAAGCTTTCCCCAGTCGTCCGGCAAGTGCACACACATCTTCAATCTTCCCATCGATCTGTGCATGGCACACATGTTCCTGCCGCTGTGCGGGTCAATACAGCATGATAGGCTGCCTCCGGCAGGGAGCACACACAGCCCCAGCCGCCCGCTTCACCCTGCCCAGGGGATGCGGTGTGCACGTGCCAGCCCCGCATCCCCAGCTCGGAGAGGCATGGTGGGGAGCAGGCTGGGCCGGTGACTCAAGCGCCGCCGCCACCACGGGTGGCCCCAGCCACACAGCCACAAGCCACAAGCTGCTTCCACAGGGATGCTTGGCCCTGCAGGGGCTGCTTGGCCCTGCAAAGACTGTGGGCAGCAAGGGCCTGATCCTGTGGCGAGGAGGTTCTGCAGTGCAAGGCAGTGGCTGGCATTTGGTCTTTCTTCTGCAGAGCCTGGTGAGCAATCCCTGCCTGCGTCTCTCAGTGCCATGGTGGCGAGGGGTGCGAGGGCACGGAGGATCTGCCCGGCAGGTCTGCCCTGTAAGCGCAGACCCTGAGGCACAGGGCAAACCGAGCTGTGTGAGTGTGAGAGCAGCAGGAGCCTGATGTCCTCTGTGTGCTGGACAGTCGTGGCACGCGATCGGGACTGTCTCTCGGCTCCCTGCACAGCCCTGGCCCCCACACCACAGGGACCACAGACCCCTGCTCTCTCTAAGCATCTTCTGCTCCGCTAGCAACTGCTACCTGGGCTGGGGACACCTCTCAGCACCCTCCCCACAGCATGGTCCTCTCCTGTGCGGCCAAAGAGATGTCCTCTCCTCCCTCCTCTCCTGCCTCTCCTCCCCTGCTGTGCCCTGGTCCTGCCTGGCCACCCGACAAGGGCAGAGGGGTGCTGGGGGCTCATCCCCTTGCCGGATGACCTGAGGCACAGGGCTGAAGTGCAGCCAGGCTGGGCTGGGATCAAGCTCTGCCTAAGTGAGTAGCACCCAAGGCACAAGCCCCATCCCCAGCTGCGGCTGAAGGCCTCCTGCAGTGGAGTGGGGAGGGCTGTGGCTTCGCCACCACCGGCACCCAGGGAGAGGACACGCCTGGAGAGATGCTGGGCTGGAGGTGCAGGGAGTGGGGAAGCAGCACGGCTGGGGGGGGAGGCAGCAGGGCTCAGGGACTGTTTTCTCCTGGGACCAGACAAGGCGGCGAGCGCGGCAGCAGCTGGGAATGGCCAGTGCTGCCACTTGGCAGCACATCTGCGGCTCACAGTTCTGCACCAGAGCCTCCCACCTGTGGCTGAGCAGGGCACACCTGCGCATGGGGGGCACGAGGCCACGAGGAGGGACTCTGTGGCATGCAGTGGGGCTTGTCTGCCCCTCCACCCGGCCACGAGCAGCTGCATAGCCTGTGTGCCCACTGATGCTCCCACATCCAGCCCTTGGGTTCGATGCTAACAGCCAGGAGAAGCCCGATGCCCTGGGCTCCGGAGTGCCAACTTCACTAGCCACCGCACAAGCGAGCCAACAGGATGGGAGAGCCAGCCAAGGGCTTGCCAGCAGATCGGGAAAGGGGGGTCCCCCCTGCTTGCCCCCGCATCCCCCACCCCGGGGGGATGCTGAGTGGCAGGGGCTTGGCTCAGGGCCCACGCGCTGTGCTCAGATGACGGGGGAAGGCTGCGAGCGCTGGGGAAGACAGGACTGGAATTCGAAATGATGTTGACAAATCGGAGAAATGGCCTGAAAACAATCAGATACAATTCAAAAGGACAAGCGCCAAGAGCTGGGCTGGGGCGGGAAGCAAATCTGCCCAGCGAGCGGAGGGTGAGCAGCCAGAGGGCAAGGCTGCCCAGCAGGCAGGAGGGCAGGGCAGAGCCCTGGCTTTGCAGCGGGCAGCAGCATTGGCTTGTCCGAGTTTAACATCGACACCCAGGACAGTCCCAGGCGGATAAACAAGGCGTGCAGAGTGTCGGACCCCCCCGGGCAGCACGCGCTGTGCAGGTGCAGTTATCCGTGTGTGCACAAGCTGCGTTTCCAGATGCCCAGCAGCCAGACAGCTGCTTGGAAAAGCAGCCGGGAGCTAGGAAAAAACGGGAGAAGCCTTGTTCATTTGGGATATGGGATCTGCCAGTGTAATATGGGATGTCTGGCTGCCCTGTAACTGCACTGAGCTCGGCAGAAAGGAGGACATTGCTCAAGGCTGTGTGAGGAGCATCATTCGCAAGGCATCTGAAGCGCTTGCTGGCGGCGAGGCCTCGGCGGGAGCCCTGTGCCTGGTCCAGGACGAAACGTCAAGAAAAATCCAGACTAATTGGAAAGAGTAGAGAGGATAGCAATAACAGAGAGCAGTGCTGGAGACCGGCTGGAGGCACTGGGGGTTTGGGCGAGAGCAGAGGAGGCTAAAAGGCTGCATCCGTAGACAAAATAACTGCTGTGAGAACAGGAGGGGGCTTTCTAGAGCATCAGGGCCCTGACACACTGCAGAAGACAGCAGGGGTTAGGTGGAGCCTCCACACAGGAGAAGCTAGCCCACAGCCTGGAGGGGTTCTTGGTGGGACTGATCCCACCGTGGTGCCCTCCAGCACCCTCGTGATGACTCATCCCCCCAAGACACAGACACAGTTTCTATTCTCAGGGTGAGGGTTTGGTGGAGATTTTTCTATCTTGCCACGGAGCTGATGGATCGACTGTCTGCTCTACCAGCGCCTGACCTCCCACCACGCTCTGGCACCGGTGCTGTACCGCTGCGGTGAGCCCACCCTCCCGGCCACCCTGCAGGGCTGAGGCTCATTGGTGTGGGCACAGGGGATCAGCCCAGGGGCACCGAAGGGTGCTGCGGCGGGGGCAGCCCGGGAGGGTGGGGGACACAGGTGATGGGATGGTTACAGCGCCGGGCAGGCAGCAGGGACCTGCCCGAGGGGAGACTGCCAGCAGGCAGCCCCCACCTGATGCCCTCCTGGTCCAAGCTGGCCGGGACCTGGATCCTGCTTGCTGGGTGCTTCTGCCGCCAGCCCAAGCCTGTGAGCCGGCTGCCACGTCTTCCTCGCCAGCTCCACACACTCTGGAGCCGGCGCTGGCTGCAGCCCCGCACCCAGAGGGAAGTGGATCTGGGGCGATCATTAATTTTGATCTAATTGAAGGAAACATGACTGCGGAGCTCAGCTGGCCACAGCGCTCGGCTCTGCCTCATGCCGGTCGGATCCTCCGAGACCCTTGCAAACACATCGGCTTAACAAGCACAGCCTCTTT